AGAAGGCTTTGAAACTTTAAATACATTGGCCTTTGAATAGCTAGTTATGATCGGTTGACAGTAGGAAGAAATGTCCAGTTTGAACTCTCTAGCCTAGACATAGTAAATATGTCCTCAGATATTCTTGTGATCATGGACAAGGCACTAGACAAGTGTTAGGGTCTCGGTTTACAGGAAGTTATACTTCCACATTATGTGGAATGGAGAAAGACAACAATAACAAATACCAGGTAAATTTGGTGAAGGCAAATGTGGGCTCTACCCGGCTGGTGTCACACCAGGATTCTTAATCTCCACTTCTTTGTGGTCCTCTGAACTTCTTTCACCTTCCAGAAATGGATTAAAAAATGCTTCTTTTGTCATTGTGTCACCTGAATCCAGTGGGCCCATGTATGGTGCATTCTGCCTCTGCATCTGCTTGGCATATACAGACCACAAGAACCCCAAAGAATAAACGAGATGGGCTTCACTATCTTCTCAGTGTCACTGAATGTTCTGTGTCCCCTTTGTTGGGAGTTAGCTGTAGTCCTGCAATAAATTAATTTTTCAAGCTTCTAATTAATTGCCAAGACCACTGATTATTGATCTACAGAGCAGATCAGAAAACCTAGGCTAGCACAGCAGTGTTTTCTTGCCAGGCCACAGCAGAACAGGGGCACATACACACAGATCATGCCTGAGGAATGGTGGTTTCTGGCACTGTTAATGGAAAATGATATAGAGGAGAAGCTATTGGGGATTTGTTTCGATTGGTTTTGCTTGATCAGCAATGCAATTACTTTTTCCATATTGGCAAAGTCCAGTAGGTGGGTTGAGGCCTAGGACTCTGTAACAGTCAGACTTGCTGTTGCTGTGATGAAACACCTAAAAGAAATAGTTAAAAGAAGGAAGAATTCTTTCTGGCTCACAGTTTTAGACGCATTAGTCCATAACCCTTGGCTCTGTCAATTCTCAGCCCATGGCGAAACAAAACCAACAGACAAACAAAAATCATAGCAGTGGGAATATGTGGATGAAGTTGCTCACATCATCGCAGACAGGAAACAGAAAGAGGAATAGAGAGGGGTGTGAAACAAGGTATAGCTCCCAAGAACATGTCTTCTGTGATCAACTTCTACCAGCAATCCCCAACTGCCTAAAGTTTCCAAAACATCTTAATATAGTGCCACCCTCTAGAGACTTAAGAACTCAATGTGTGAGCTCTTTGTGGTGACACTGTACATCCAAAGCAGAATAGGCAGGTTGGAGTAATAAGGTTTGAGGATGTGAGTCATTGGCAACCCACAGTCCAGGGAGGAACACAACAATGTAGAGAAGGGGATTTAGAGAAGTAATCATGAGAATTAAAAATCGAGGTTGGTAACATACTACAGCAACCACTGAGAAAAGCCTTGGTTCCGGAAGAGGGTTGAAAAGGAGGCTTAAGTTCCAGCCTCCCATAGCTCACAGTATATCAAAAGAGGTGAACACACGAATAAGTCATTGCAGTAGATTGCAGATGAATACCCACAAGGGAAGAACCACGTTCAGACTGGCTAAAAGTCATTTCATTAGATCCTGAGCTGGCCGTGCTCTCAGAGGTGTAAAGTGAGAACAAACTCCAGAACGCATGATTCATCCAGGTCATACCACAAAGCACTTGGGGGAAAATATGTTTGTTCTCTCCAGACTCCTCCATGTCAAAATGTTCTTTTTCATTTGTTGTCATAAAGAAGCATATATGTAAACTAACTTGGATGACATTAAGTGGTTACTTTGAGGTGAATCAGGTGTCAGAGCACACTACTGTCGATAAGCAGCACTGGACCTCAAGGTATTCACAGTCAGGAGGATTGAATGGAACTCAACTTGTGGACAGATACTTGCAGTGAAGGATGAAAACTGTTTTCCGGCTCTGTGCAAACAGTGGGTTGGTGATAGTGCCAGGACACTCAAAGGATGTGCCCATAGGTCCGAAGAAGGAGGGGAATGGCTGACTGCCTAAAATATGTCACATAAATTGGGTGAAGATAGTTTAACAGAATGGGGATGTAAATGCTTAGGACACAGGGAGCAAACAAGTTCTCTGTGTCCCTACACTTAGAGGTGAAAGGTCAGTTTGTGAGGACAGTCAAAAGTCCTTGTCTTCCAGGATGTCCTGCCATGTGTAATGCAGGTCAGTGACATTGTCAGACTTTTTAAAAAGAAATGGCATTCTACAGCAAAGGTAAAGCCTGTTTCCTCAGAAATTAGGAGGCTGCAGTAATCTACCAAGTAAGAGGGGATAAGACACATCCTAAGACAGTGCAATAGGGGAGCCTGGCCCAGAAGTAGCACACAGGGGCCATGTCTGATTTGATGTGGCTAGTTAGACAAAGGGAGATCCTGGGTACAGTCCCAAGATCCTAGTGTCACTGAGAACATAGATATAGAAGAAAGAAGTTTGAAGTCATACTTTTTATTTCCAAATTTTGGGAGATACATACAAGCAGTCTAGAACATGGATTTCTAGTAACTGGCCATGGTGTTTTGGCAAACAGGGACAGTAGACACGCACTAGAGAATCCAGTGAAGAAGAAGCAATTGAATTTGTGAGTAAGGAAGTGAGATAATGTGAGAAGGTGGTGTCACAAGGGCACTGAACCCCTCACCCCTGGGTGCACCTGAGAGCATCTTTCTGAGCCAGTATAATCAGCTTGTTTCCACACACCAGCAGGCACAGTATAAGGGCCTCAGCTTGTAAGTTTGCCTATTCTGAACATGAGCTGCTTCTTAGGTGGTAGGTATTACAATGAGCAGGGTCTCTTTCCTCAGCTACCTGGCCTCAGAGCCCTCTGCAGGGTATACACTGACAGTCAGTGACGAACAGGTTGAGGCACAGTGAAAACAGTGAGAGTTGCCTTGACTTGGAAAAGAACTGATCTAGCAGAGAAGAAACAAAGCAGCCAAGCAGCCAAGAAATCAAGATGGGTCAACACAATTCACCTGGAGTATAATCTGAGCACTGGGCAGGACAAACGATGTCTCTTCAGAACTCACAAGGCTAGGAAACAGCTCAAGCATCTATGGCCAGCCTGGGTACACATCAGGCCTCAGTTGTACTTTTGCAAAGCAGAGTAAACCAACAGAGAATATAACATTGGAAGAAAACTGCACTGATTTGTTTTTCAACAAAAGCAAGAACTCTGATAGAAATTTATCTTGAGTCTATTAAAGCTACCCTACCTAGCAGCTTGTAAGTGAAGCTAAACTGTATTACAATTCCATTTGAAAAAGAAACTTTAATCTGTTTTCCAGTACTTTTGCTCTCCCCCAACCCCACTATTCCTGTCAGGTTGTACTGTCTAGTGTACTTAAACTATGCTATGTGATTATAAATTATGTTATCATTGTAGTACAAACCAACTATTTCATACTTCTCTTTTTGCCCGATAACAATGTAGGAAGAGACAGCAGACTTTCTATCTTTCTCTGTCATATGAGCAGATGGTAGGAAGTTGGGTCTGCAAGCCAGGAAGAGCCTTCACCAGAAGGACGAACCGGATGTTGAACTCCCTACTCTCCATGATCTGGTCTGAATGGTTGTGTTCTCAAAGTCTTAATGCCAAGTACAACAGTGTCAGCAGGCAGGGCCATTAAGTATGGTTAGATCACAATGGAATTAGTGTCCTTATTTTAAAAAGGTCAATGGGGCTTTTCTGTGCCCTTCTGTCATCAGAAGGCACATCTAGAATGCTCTATCTGTAAGGAGGCCTTCACAGACACTGACTTTCCTGGGACATTGTCTGTGGACTCCCCAGCCTCTGTAACTATGAGTGAGCAAATCTGTTCACAAATTTCCACTCTAAGGTATTTCCCCCGTGTAAACTTGATCACTCAAACACAGAGCACCATGAATAGTCATGTGTCTCTGCACCCTTTCTCATGTATGGAACTTTCTGGATGTGTTTTTGGGATAACAGAAGGGGACAAGCAAGCTTTCTTAACCTCCTTTATAAGGACATTAATTCCATCCATGAAGTTTTCATGACTAACCCCACCTAAAGACCGCACCTGCTAAATCTGTGATATTAGGGACCAGAATTTGTGGATGAGACAAACGTTAAGATAATAATATGGAGACTTGGAAGTCCCAGGTCAAGTTCTGGAATGATTTTACTTCTGATGGAGGGCTCTTCTTGGCTTGCACCTTCCTACTGTGTGCTTACATGCCAGAGAGAGACAGGGATAAAGGGAATGTCTTTCATAAAGAATCCAGTTAAGTCAGGACTCTCCTTTATGATCTCATTGACATTTTAATCCCTTTTCTTGAAAATCTCATTTGCATTAGAGGTCAAAGTAGGAGTAGGGCTTCAACACGTGAGTTTTGAGGTTGGGGGGAATTCAGCTCACAGCATGATGGGGGAAAAAAGAAGAGCAGAACTTGCATGGTAAAAGCCTTGTCTGGTTTGGATGAAACCTTCATGGGTCAATGTATAATAATGATTATATAAAGTGTTGTGTGTCTGTTGGGAAGGCATATTTTATACCCACTTAGGGTCTTGCATTACATAAACTATGAGTTTTGCAAAGTTAATTCTACTACTTCTTCTTCTCTGTTGTACTTAACAATAAGCCTTCTACTGAATTCTATGTAGAAATGAAAGCCTCAGGGTGATGGCATCACAAAACAGGGATTTTGTGAACTGGTTAGGTCATTAGAGTGCTTATCCAGATATGAGAGCATGGAATGGCCTCTTCCCCCACACTTCAGACTGAAATAAATTCTGCCTTTTAAAGTCACTGGTCTATGGCTTGTGACTCAGCAGCAGAAACTAACTATGAGCTGCTCTGCTTATTGCTGGTTTGGAGGTATTCATTCTCTTATGCATCAACCATGAAAGAGTTGTCTATTCTATGTGAATAATAGTATTCAGGAGAACTGACATGGCTCATAAATGGTACGTTTGTGGGATGGGCAGAGACAAGTAGATGGCAGTGTGTGTATTTTCTGATTGCAACCTTTCCCTTTCAAAACTCAGGTGACAGTGACGGATGGTGGTTCTTCTCCAAAACAGTCAACCATTTGGGTGGTAGTTCAGGTTCTGGATGAAAATGACAACAAGCCCCAGTTCCCTGAGAAGGTCTACCAGATCAAGCTTCCAGAACGTGACCGCAAGAAAAGGGGAGAACCTATTTACAGGGCTTTTGCATTTGACCGAGATGAAGGCCCCAATGCAGAAATCTCCTACAGTATTGTGGATGGGAATGATGATGGAAAGTTCTTTATTGACCCTAAAACTGGCATGGTCTCTTCCAGAAAGCAATTCACAGCAGGAAGTTATGACATCCTGACGGTAAGGTTTAATTCTAGAACATCAGTGGGGTAGGGATGAGTCCTCTCATCCATGCCGACTTCCTTGATCAATAAATGTCTAATATGGAGAGTGAGTAGTAGCTGTGAAAGGCTGCTTTCTGGGAGCCAGTCAAAGCTGAGAACTCTTACATTTCTGGGTGATGTTCTAAATAATGAGAGTTTCCTTTATTGTGTCCTATTAGCAAACCTTTCCTGATTCCATGGCCTGCTGGAGCCTATGCTCCCAACTACATATCTTGGGCCCTAAGTCATTCTCAAGGTGCTGTACATAAAGGACAGTATATATCTAGAGTAAAGGAAAAAAGGCTGTGGTACACACGCACACAGCCATGCATATGTGTAGGGGACAGTAAGCCACACCCATTAGAGGCTGGCTACAGGTGTGCCTGACCATGCCTGTCAAGGAGTGGTCAAGGTAAGGTCAGGATGACGCGGCATGGGCTCTTAAGGTCCCACAGAGTGCATGGAAGCCCCTTCTCCTTCCCCTTCTCCCTGGCCTCGCTGCTCAGCTGCCCCTGGCACGCTCTGGCTTGCGTTTGGCTGGTATTTATCTGAATAAAGGTATCTTGAACCTACAAGCTCTCCCATCACATATGTTCACATTCACACACACAGAAACATACATACACATGGGCACACATGCATATGGTCATACAAATGCCTACACATTTGCACATGTATTCCCACACACATGCATGTGCATTCCCACATACTTTATACACTCTACCCATGCTCCCACATGTGTACATCATACATGTGCATGTACACACATAATGTACTTACACATTTACATGAATGCCCATATTCATATATATGCACACACTCAGTGCATGTGTACAAAATTATACTCATATGCTTGTACACATATGCACACATATAATATACTTACATACAGTCACATGCGCATAAACCCACATACAAATACATGCTCACATGCATGTACATACATGCCCATACATCCTAACACACAAATAAGGACTCATAGTATACTTCATTTCCCTTCAACTCTCACCAGAGGTGAAGTGCAGAGTCACGCTATGATGAATCAAATTAGCTATTTTTACTCACATAAATTACTATTCTTGACCCTCACATACTATGAATTGTAAGTACAGCATTTACTTTTCATATCATGACTTCTTATCTTGAAAGTGGCTTCTGTCAGACGTAGTGTGAACCCTGTTCCCAAATAGGTCATCTGTTGAGAGTCCACTCTCAACGGGATACCACTCGTCTCCTTGTGACATTGTGCAGAAAATGCTCTTTTAACTCAATACTATCAGTGAAAGATTTAAACTTCCACAGACTGGGAGCACTAAGCTGTTTTTCTGTATTCCCTCCATGTATGAGTAGATCAAGGCTGTGGACAATGGCCGACCACAGAAATCCTCCACGGCCCGCCTCCATATTGAATGGATTAAGAAGCCCCCACCTTCACCTATACCACTGATGTTCGACGAACCATTTTACAACTTCACAGTCATGGAAAGTGACAAAGTAACGGAGATTGTAGGGGTGGTGTCTGTGCAGCCAGCTAACACCCCTCTGTGGTTTGACATCGTTGGTAAGTTTAAGTCTCTAGAACATATCAGGAAATGGACTTAACTGTTTGAAGGAACTAGCCAAACAAACAAACAAATAAATTTTAAAATAATTTAAAATGCCAAAGAATAAAAATGAAAAGCCTAGCAATTAAGCCTAAGATTAAAATAGTGCTGGAATGCAAAAGAGCCAGTAAAATGAATAACTGACCTGTGCTTTCGTTCCAATTCTGTAGCTAAGCTGAACAGAAAGTGCTCTCTGGCTGGATTTTTCCATAGTATGTTATTTACTGCAAACTTAATGTCTTTCTGTGTGTCATTTTAATTCTATTGTCACACTTGGCTAATCTCATTCCTAAATGTATTGATGGTACTAGACTTGCTGTCCTTCATTTCTCTCTTTTTCTTCACCTTTTTTTCTGCATTCTGTTCTTTTTTTTTCTGCTCCCGACTGCCCTGCTTCAAGGTGGCAAGCATGCTCGAGAGATGTTCTATATTCTACAGACAGCTTGTGGGCAGAACTGTTCAACAGAAGGTACCCTTAGTGCAAACACATTTGCTAAAATACAGCTATCCAATCTGCCTTTTGCGTTTTTTTTTAAACAAATTGAATTACATCTTTCATAACTGCCTGTGACAGACTGAAATGCAGCCCACAGATTTCATACATGCCTCTAACAGCTATCTCATTGCTCGCATCCAATGACTTCTTTGTTTGAAATTAAATGGGTTTGGGGTTTGGGGGGATTGTTTTGATTTTCTCCCATTGCTTTTGAGGTATGTGGGTTTTTTGTTGTTTGGTTTTTATCTTTTTGTAGGTTAGTTTATTTAACTGGGAATTTTCCAATTGAAAAAATAAATGAAAATGTATTCCTGCCTCTCTATTTTTCAGCAGTAGTGGCATTCACAGACAAAAAAAAAAAATCGCCACCAGGAGAGTCCCCTGGCTGCTGTCCACGAGAGGAAGGGCAGGAAATAGAACCGAGATGTGCATGTGTAGCCAGTGAGCCTCTGCTCACCCTGAATAGAGAAAGCAGATGGAAGGGAGCAGGCAGGACAGACCTGGGGAGCCAATCTTTAAATTCCTTGAAAGAAAGCAAGCAAGCACGCCAGGCTGCAAAAGGAAAAGGGCAAAACAGCTCTTCCACAAACCTGCAGGGAGAGCGCTGGAGAGGAAATGTGTGCAGGAAGGGGAAATAAAACAGGCTGTTGTCAAAGAGAGAGGCCAGTGTGCCTGCCAGGGTCTGATCATGGCTGAGCCAGAGCTCACTTCCCACGATTCTCTATGAACGTGCAGTAGCCAGAAGAGCAGTGATGTGGTAGACTCATTTCTTTCCCCATGATGCCTGGACAGGATGGGCAGGAACCTGTTACTCCTCCAGAACAGCTGAGTCTGGGAAAACGTTTAGGAGGTTCCACATCTGGTTTAATGAAGCATAGAAAAAGGATGTTCTGTGTCTCCCAGTCAAACCTCAAAGAGTCCTCTGAACTCCCAACAAATAAGGGCTGCCTTCTGCATCTTATTCTGCAAAACATAGGGCATCTTTGTTTTACTTAATTGACATTAATCTCACCATCTTTTCATATGACCATCCTTTCAATTCCTTCTTCATCTCTGCCAGAATATTTGGGATGGAATGTCTTCTGACCCCATGAGAAATATCTTGCCATCATCTCAGTAGTTTTCTGCTACTTCAGCGATTATATGATACAGTTTCTTCTTTGTGATGCAAGGAAGCATTGGACATGTCACCAGTTGTCTTTTGCCTGCCTAGATACCTTTGAACATTCCTTTACCAACTCAGTTTGCAAGCATCTCTATTGGATAACAGTGCTTCCTGTCCCTTACATGAGCATCCTAACTCTGCCCACTTGGCCCAGGCTGCCCATAAATAGTAAATCTCACTAGCATACCTTTCTTAGATGTTCAGGTGGGCAGTTACTCAGGCCATCTTACAATTCTTCAGTGTCTCGACAAACCAGCATGCTGCTAGTAGTACTGCTTGTAAGATTACTCACTGGCTTTTCATACTAAGTTATCAGTACTACTGTAGGTTATCATTTATGTTTATCCCATATCCATTCTTCACCTTCAGAGTGAAGGAAGAATACAGAGACAGTTGGTGATGCCTCAGGCAACCACATTAACCTTACTGAGGACTCCTGGCCCTGTCCAGGATCAGAGTGACATTCCATTGTACACCACCAGCCACAATAGCCTCACTAATCCAAGGAGAAAGAGGAGTTTATACAGAAACTTCCTGGGCATCCAAGTATAATCCAGGAATAATATGCAAAGCATAGCCTTAGTTTTCATGTCTCTTTATCTTTGTGTTTCTAAGCACTGCTTTTCTCCATACATCCCCTCTTCATCCCTTCTACTGCATGAGTGAAAGTAGTTTTTTCAAGAAGACTCCCAGAACTATACCCCTGATCTGGACTCCTCCATCACTGACATTTCTCTTTAAATCTGGTAACAGTTTGCCAAGCTGCTTCTACAAATTGAACTTACTGGGACTCCTGCCCAAACAGATCATTTTATTTCCATCCCCACGTCCCGCCAACAATGTCTTGAGATGCCAACTTTTTACCTCATTGGAGGACATCAAGTCCTTTCCCCAGGTGCTGGCAGTTTTCAGTAGAGATGATCTCCTCTACCAAATCCCCTTTTGGAAAACATGGCTTATCTGCCAGAGTCATATTTTACCCCTGTGCTGACATCTTCTTCCTTCTTTTAAAGTCTCTCGTTTGCTTTATCATCTTCAGGTGTCTCATCCTCACTGTCAAAATTTCTTGCTTATTTATCTCTTGTGAGTCTTCCCTTCCTCCTTGTCTAAACACCATCCTTGATTAAGCTAGCACAGAGGGGACCAAGAGAGGGCAATGCCCCTTAGCACTTAATACTCATCCATGACCCTTGCAAAGTTACAAAGAATAACCATGAGATAGGCACGAGCAGCATGGATCTAAATGAAGCCTCCTCGGGTTCTGTCAAGTTTTGCCCAAGTACTCTTGTGAATAATAAGCCAACCTGTGTTTCTGCCATAGACCTAGTGCATCCAGACACTCATGGAGAACACACTGAGAGGCCCAGGGAATACCATCCTGATCTGGCTTTAAACTGCTCAACCTGGTGAACCCTCATTCAGTTAAACAAAGGATGATGTTTTAGTCTGCCTTTCCCCTTGATAAGTTGCTTTCACTTGCACATTTCCAAACTTACATGACTGATTTTAACGGAGTTTCCTTTCCGCCTTCCAGAACACGAAGTCACAGAAACCCCGTGTGAGCAGCGTTTTGTTCCCAAGCCTAGACGCTGCTTGCATTCTCTTAACTCCAAAGAGATTGTGTGCTTCCTCTGTAGCTAGACTCTCTTCAGCTCCCGGGAAAAAGCGCTGCTTATAACCAAGCTAAGAAAGCTGTAATTAAAAGGAAACATAATAAAGTTCAGCTGTTGTGGATTTAAACAGCCCAACACACAGCATGCTTCTTCTCCTTGTTAAAAGGGAAAGAAAATGAAGGGAACAAAAATAACCCACAATCCTTTGTGGCTTTGTCATGTATCTTCACACTTCTCAGAAGGCTCCGATTTCCCCTCAGCAGTTCCTTGATTTACATACCCTCCAATGTGCAAGCAATCTGGCTGTCAGCTCGGCCCCAGAATCTCATCCTGATGGCAAATATTTGAATTCTAAAGGGCATCGTCATTAACAACTCTGTACTGAGAACTGAGGCATTTTGACTTTCAGTTTTTAGCTTTACCTGAATCAGGTATAAAGAAGCTTTCGCAAATAGGAAGCACATGAACCACCCTGACTTGCCTCACCCCAAGTCAGGAAGGAGAAAAGCTATATTAGCATGAACCTCTGACAGCCAGCCCTCTGTGTTGCAGATGGACCAAGGCTACATTGGTCCTCAATTGGCTGTAGATCTCTGTGACTTGGAATCATTGGCTGTTACAGTCTCAACTTACCCCTGTCCTTTTGTAACCTTGTGTCCTGTGCAGCCACAGATGATTTAGGTCTGGGTTAAGATGTGAGCCACACTTCTCACCAGCACCAGCAGTACCTTATCCTCTGCCAGGTGTGTCCAAACTTTGGAACTCAGCACATAATGTAATCCACAAAGTTCATGTTTGAGAACTATGTAATTACTTTTTTAAATGCTAAAGAGAAGAAACCTTGAATTTTGACTAAGTCTCTAATTTCATGTGTCTGTATTTGTAACTATTCTCAGTCATGTGAGGTTGGGCATACCTCAGAGCTTGGGCACCTCTGGGTCTACCCTGACCATCATGTAACTCTCTTCCAGCCTGTCTTTAGAGAAGCCACATCTATTTCTAAGTCACCTGCTTCCCCATCAGTTATTCAAAGGACATCCAAACACTTCATCTCTCCTATCTAGCTTCATGCTCTAACTTGATCACAAACAGGAATCAATTTTCTCTATAGCAACTATCTCACTTATGGAGTCATATCTGAAGAAACTTTAGAAAAGTAACAAAAAATCTAAGAATACTTCACATATTAATTGCTTGAAAAAAGGAACCTTAGACTAAATTCTAGAAGGATTTTCTCTTCCTACCACTCTTTCCTGCCCTCCAGCTCCTGCCCGCCATTTAAATATCAGCCTGCTATGCACTTGCTTCATTCCAAGGCAGAAATTATTCATAATCACACCGTAACTGGCACCGAATGTCTTTCCTTCAGTTGGGTATACATGCTGAGCTTGAACGAACAGCTTGAGCACAGCTCCCTTCATTCATTGAGATTCAGTTGCTCAGGGATTTGGAAGCTTCTCAGCCACTCCCCCACACACCCCGCCCTGGGTAACTACTAGATTTGGGCTGGTATTTTTATAGTTACACAGGCTAGAGTGGAGTTATTTTCTAGAGGAAGAACCTGGAAGCTGTGCCATTTTTATCACCAAGTCTCTGTGCAGAGACAGCACCAGCAGAAGTTTTCTCCTCTGTCAGTTGTACCCAACCTTTGGAGATGGAGACATGATGTCAACCACAAATCTTCAATCACAAATGGGATACACACCTTTACAGACAAGCTCAACTCAGTTATACCCCAGTGAACTGAGCACTAGATGCTGGCTGCAAGTGTTTTTATTCATGTCCTATTTCTAGAGTCTTTTCCGGACCTCCTCCTCGATCCATTAAATTTTGTAATATTATAACAGAAATCCAGTTGCCTCTTCTGCTCTTCTTTACTCTATGACACCTGTCTTGACCAAAAATGGTCCAAGAGAAATGTCCCTGAAAGAATTATTGTCATGTGGGCTGTTCACAACCTCGCTTTTAACTCCCTCTGCCGCAAGCCCTCCCCCCCCACCCCCGTAGCAATGCACAGGCTGTGACATTTCTGAACCCCACTCTGTTGGGACTCGGGCCAGCTCTGCAATGTCCTTTTCTGCCCACTTTTTATTTGGCCTCATGCTGTTGCATCCAACACACTCTGGCTTTTGCATGTTCTGTTACTGGCTCTGAGGAAGCACATCTTGTTTAAACTGAATGCTGCTAGTGAAGACAGACTCCTTGGATTTGATTGATAGCCTCCCCCAGACCATTCGGAATTGTTTTCCCACAAAATTGAAATCACCTTTCAGGCTAAATGGGAGCCTGAAACAAGACCTGGGGGAAAGGCCCGGAGTCGCTTATGAAACGGATGCCTAAGTGTAGGTTATTAAACTATATGTGGGTTGATGGTGAACTGTTGGTCTAGGTTCTATGTCCCTTGTCAGAAATTCATTTGGAAACTTGGGAAGAATTTGATTTAAATGAAATCTTGGCTTAACTAGTAGCAAATGTCCTAGAAATGAGTATTATAGCATGCTGGTCACATTAGTGAATGACTAAATGTACCAAGGACGCTAATGATCTATCTCTTTGATGACATTAAAAGTTTCTTACCAGGAGTACTTAAACCACAAAGACTAATAAAAGAAACAAATACAAACATGGCATATACATGCAAAGAAGAAAAGAGAGGATTGTAAAAACCAATTTGCAAAAGTTACAGAAAATATTAACAAGAGCAAAAATTATTTTTAAAAAGCATATAATCTACATTTGTATAAATACTCTCTATACACTATAAACTATACAGGTAGGTTGACTGTGTATTTTGCACACAAACTCTGAAAGATCACAATTAGTGAGAGCAAGAACTGAAATTGGAAAAACTCTGCCTGTGTTTCCTCTAAGCTTCATTTTCATTCATCTTTCAGCTAGAGACAGTAATTTGCACAATTATATTCATTTGATCCACAAATGTTTGCCTTTCCTGAATAACTGACACAGAAGGATGAACACTATTCCCCCAAACCAACAACAATTTAAGACAAAACTCTCAATCTTCATATTTAGGAAAGTAAACAGCACAGGGGCAGGTGTGGGGGTGGCATCTAACATTGATGGAGCTGTGGTTGGGTCCATGAGTTAATACCCTCCAGGAGCAACTTGAAGTTGCATCCTTGTCTTTCTCTCTCATGCTTTGGAGGTTGTTGTTACCTCTTGGAGATAAATGATCTGCCTGCTACTTAAGATGGCTGGTGCTTTCTGTTTTAGTCCATGTGTTCCTCCAGGTAGTATTGGCTGCAACAAGAAACCACTCTCTAAAACCAGCAGTCCTCTTCTTCTGAGCCCTCAAAACTCTTCTTTGGAGTTAGCATCTAGTGCTTCTCAGTAAATCAATTAAAGACAGTAATTGGAAGATGATTCTCTTTTAGATGTGATTTTTGAGAGCATACATCATCTCTAAGCAATTCTCTGGTACCTCTGTATCTCCACAGCTTTAATTAAATGTCAAAGGCAATTATGTTCTCTCCAGTAATTAAATAATCCTATGTGAACATGGTAGCTGTAAGCAGTTGGTACTTGGAATATACATGACTACATTTTTAGAAAGTAAGCCATATTACTTATTTTTGTCACTGAGGGACAAATTTCTGTAAATTTGGCTATGACTCTTCATCCCCTTCACTCATCTGCCTACTTAATATTGTAATATCATGAAAATGTGTTGTTAAATGACCAGAAAAAAATTCAAAGACTGTAGGAAATAAGTAAAGCCAAGCTTCTCTTTTCTAAAATATGAAACTCAATAAATACATTGCCCTACATACTAAAGTTAAATAAAATTACCATCTGAAATCAAAAGCATTTCACACATGCAGTTTCCGACAAACATAAATAGTACTGGTGAACATATACTGACATTTAATTAAAATTGTTCCAACACTTAGACAACGTTATCTTTTCTCTCCTTTAAAAAGGTCCCTATTTTGGGAAAGTTATAAGTGACACTTCTGTCCAGAGATAAAATGGTCCCAATTCTAATGCTATCCTAAGTATGTCATTCAAGCCAAAAGGACAAAAGGAAATTTTTTTCTAAACCTTTGTGTAAATTGCCTTATAAGTTCACTCGTGTTATATCAGCAATAGAATATCCGTGTGGAACCTCTCAGATCTGATGATTTCATGTTGTTTCTGTGAAATCATCAGCCACTTGGGAGAAAATTAATTTACACTGCCAAGATACCAAAACATTTCTCTGGATATCCCAATGTTCAGAAAGACTCTTTTTCATATGAAATTCATTAAAAAAATTCTTGTCTTTCTATATTCATAGTTTTATTTCTGACATTTAATTGAGGGACTCTGAATTCTAGTAGCCAAATGTTTACCAACAATCCTAGAATAGACCTAAAAGTATCAAATCACTTGTGTTCTTTGTAATTGGAATAGTTTTTACTTAGAATATATTCTACTTAAAGTTAAAGTGTTCCCCCATGTTCCCTGCATGGTAGCTGAGAGGGGTTAAAGTGCTGCTAGCCTTCTGAGTGTTTTATGGAGTCAGTTTATGCTCCATCACGTTAGCATTACTGCTGAGGTTTTTATTTACAGTACATTGTTTTTTGTGTCATTTGTTATGCTTATAGAGGGTGGCTTTTGAAATACGAATGAAGTTAGAAATAGTAAGGTCCCATTTAAGATTTATGAAATTGAGCCATAGTGATGCCTGATGGAAAATATATCTACATAAAAGTGCCCTGTAAAGATATATGCCTCCATACACTTAATACCTTCTCATATGTGCTAATTTCATGTTGTTTCTGTGAAATCATCAGGGGGGAATTTTGACAGCTCTTTTGATGCAGAGAAGGGTGTTGGGACAATTGTCATTGCAAAACCATTGGATGCAGAGCAAAGGTCAGTCTACAACATGAGCGTGGAAGTCACCGATGGAACAAATGTTGCTGTCACTCAGGTAAGAAGTTAAGTTACTGACTAGCAAGAATGTGCAAAGGTCTGCTAAAGAGAAATGGAAGCAATGCAAAGATAGATGCACCAAGTTAAAAAAAAATTGTCCATGGATTTTTTATTATTCAGAAAATTGTTTTAGTGAACAACTGAGACAAAGGATTCCACTGGTGATGTAGAATTATTTGTCTCCTCTTTCAAAATGACTATGGTTGTTTACTCATGGAAGAGTGATGTGCATTTGTTTCCTGGTCATTTACTATAGGTTTATCTCTGACAACAGTCAACTTGCAAAGAGCCCATTGATGTTGTCAATGTCAGCCCAATGTGAGATTCTTCCATTCCTCATCCCTTGAGTCAATTAAATGTAAAGCTAGAGATATCTAAGAGTCCATGTTCAGTTATATGCTGAGGTGAAAGTTACATAGCCAAGTCAAACAGCCTCAATAAAAGACCAGATTGAGGCCTGGGTATCCACTATAATCTTTGGGTTAGGGATTCTCTATCCCAGCTGCACATTGTACACTCCGTTATGGAGCATGGTGAGAGAGGTCCAAAGCTCTTATAGCTGGAATCCAGCTCCAGAGTTCCTGTGAATGTTCATGCAGCTGGGAAACATTCTGCTCTGCTCATTGAGTGCCTATAAAAGACATTGAGAGTTAGAAGAAAACTCTTGTCTTATTGCCTGACTCAGAACACCTCTGAACTTCTTCCCAAGTGAGATTAACACAATGCTAGCTCTCAACACAGTGGATTTACCTTAAATATAAGGGTTTTGCTTTGTTATTCAGCACCATAAACCCAGCCCCGTATGGTGTACACTGCAACTCCACTCTCCTCCCTGCTTCTTCTGTTGTTCGAACAACCCCAGCAGACACGAGTGATTGTTCTGGGCCCTGTTCTCTGCTGAACCCAGATGGATATTCAGAATTCTTCTCAACACATTTAGGTAGTGAGTAAAAAAAGTTTTGCCAAACCAGATGCCAGAAAGTGATGGTTTATTTTAAATATGATTTACACTTTTATAACCATGAAATTTGAAAGCAGGAGGGATATTTCATATACTTGTCCAGTCAACTGTCTCTTGGTCTGAAGCTGCAAAAAAAAAAAAAAGTAACAGTTGAAGGGAACAATGGAGTTCATTTCAAGTGACCATTTACTTTCCATTTAAATAAAACTATAAATGGAAATTACTCACATACAGACAGCCAGTGTGTGACTGTTCCCGATTCTCACTTTGGTCCCTTCCTGCTTATTGGGTGACCACAGGACCCTTTTTACCTTAGAGAGTCTCTCTTAGACCTGTTAAACAGAATATGTATTAACAGCACCTCATATTGTCTGATAATTGACCCAATTGGGACAACAAATTATATATTTTTCCTATCTAAAACCTCACCACTCCTTGGCATTTTTTGAAACTCAAATCTAAACACGTAAATGAGGCTCCCTGGCTGAGATTCCATGGGAACTGAGCAGTAGAAGAGTATGCTAGAAGACCAATGCCAAACAATCCATGTGCAGTATTGCTATGTTGTTGGTGCTAATTCATTTTAAATGAGACTTAAATTAGATTTTTTTAAATTAGTGGTTTCTTATCATAACCAACCCCAGCTCTTCTGTGCTAATTAAAAATCCAAGACATATTCTGGTAAAATACAAATAAGCATGGATACTATTCATTTCCAGCCTTTTCCTCTGGGTTTTTTAACCAGTTGAATTAATCAGTGTTCAGTGTATCTAGAATGTATAATTCATTAAATATTTTCAGAATGAATGAACAGATAGATTCTACACATCCAGTAGGGTTTATCTAGAAGAAGGTATACCTGATCTCTGAGCCACAAACCATTCATGTTAACCATGGCAATGAAAAAGTTAGCAAGAAGACATTTAGTACTCCAAGAGGATGAGATGAGAAACAATTTAGTACCATTTATTTCATAAATATTTCTTTAGTCCATGCCATATGCAATGAACTGTGGTGCTTAAGGTTGTGGTGGTATAGTTTTGATTGTTGTTTGAGACAGGGCCTCACTGTATTGCCCACATTGGTCTCAAACTCCTAATCCCAAGCAATTCTTCTGCCTCATGTTACAGTAGGTACACTCCACCACGCTAAGCTAGTAATGCAGTTTTAAGGCCAAAAGTCTAATATGCACTCATTAAAATAATATGGAATTGCAAGTTTTTGAGTGAGACCTTTGAATGAGTACTTATCTGAGACCATGCTTTTCCAAGCTTATATACATTTAGACTTGACACAGTCTAAGCAGTCTTAAGCAGTCTGAGAATTGGGGTGAACTTGGAGATCCCCTTAGCAAGAGTAAATTAAAGAGGTTAATAAAGGGCACCATGAGATTTTTCTTGTCAAAAATACCCAAGTCATGCTGTTCTCAAGAACCATGCCCTTGAGGAATAAGCACTCAGTTTCCAAACTGTGCACTGTGTCCTCATCAAGACTGTTGCCATCAGAAGGCCACAGGCACGTTGGACCTATCTGCTTTTACCCAGGCTTCCCTGGACATGGCAGCAGAAACAGTTCCCTGCACCATGTCAGGTATATTTGAATGACAGGATGTTTGGGAGATAATCAGAGCATTCAAGACTTCTTTTAGAAACTGCTAAAATATGCTCAAATCCATGACCTTAGACAACGCAATGATTCTATCACCAAATAGATACCTTTCTCCATGTAACTGGATTAATGTCGCATAGTTCACAAGCCACCTGTTCAAAACTCCTTGGGGGACTTTTTTCTCCTTTGTTCACATGAACTCATAAAACATGGTAGGACATGGGCATCTCACCAGCTGTAAACAATGTGTTGAATTTTACTTCAAAAATATCAAATAAATCCAAGCCTCAGGGATTCAGTGTCAACATGAAACCCTCACTTCATCTTCAGTCTGGTCCTGTTCTTCCGACTCTCACAGGATTCTTGGGCCTCCGAGCTACAAAATCTGATGCTATATAAATATCTCTTTCTTTCTGAGGGTTGCCTAAGCTGAATGCAGACTGCAAAGGGGCCCGTGCATTTCCCATTACAAAGCTTTCAAAGAACAAAACAGAAGTTTTGAAAGCAAAGCACCGCCACATGGGCAGCAGCCACCTGATGAGGTGGACAAAGACTTCTGCATGGGATGGTGTGGGATGTGGAGAAGTATATGTTTGCAACTTTTATATTACAACACAATACAGAAGTGATCCCCATGTTATTGTAGAAGCCCGGAGATGAGCAAGGAAGTCAAAAGTGCGAAGGTGTCTCTACTTCAAGTAAAGATGGAGAATCACAAGGAGCTGTGGTAGTTGCAAGCAGCAGGATTGGGGAGTATCTAGGGAATGGACCAAATGAAACACTAACAAGGAGTTGCCATCTACCCCAACATAAACAGAATTACAGGAGTTTAAGTGGATCCCAGCCCTGCTTCCCAGACAAGATAATGGCCATTTGCATTAGAAAGGAGCCAAGATGCTTTAATACAGACAGCTAACACCCTGTTAGGGCAAGAACATTAGTCATATTATCCTACTAAAGACTAAAGTCATGTTTAAAGAGGACCAGAGTCTACTTAAATTGGCTTTCACTAGCTAAAGATGGGTAGGTCCCTCAATTTTCACAATAACTTTATAAAGCAGGTACTAAAAATACTCACTATAGGCAGAATCAGTATACCCTGCCTTTCCCCAAAAACTGTCCACACTCTGGATGTCCACTTTCAAATCTTGAAGTATTGTATTACATGCCAGAAGGGACTTAAGAGATATAATTAAGGGCAAGGGTCTCCAGGAAAGACCTATCTACTACCAGAGACTTGACTGCCAACTTTTTCCAGCTAGAATCAGAAAGGTCAAAAAGGGAGAAGGCAAAAAACAGTGCAAGAAGATCTGAGACAATCTGAGTATACAGGTGGCCTCAAGATGTTGGGGAGCCAGCAAGGAAACCAGGACCTCAGTCCCTTAACCATAAGGCACTATATTGACCCTGAACGAAAAGGGAGAACATTCAAAAAGGAATGCATCTATATCAGTCCCTTAAGTTTAGCCTTTATTTCAATATTCAGAACTATGAGATAATAATAATATCCAGTGTTACGTTAAACATCTAATTTGGTAATGACTTTTTATGGCAGAAATATGAAACTCATCACCTGCTGTCATTTCCATTTTCCTATGTAGAAAAAAAGGCCCAAAGCAAGATCAAGTAGTTTTAGGAGAGCCTGAACTCAGTCTCACACAGGCAGATACTAGAGCCTGCAGTTTCATCCACTACACTGTGCCAACTGTCAAAGACAGCCTTAAGTCTTTGAGTCTGTTCTAAGGCAGGAGTTACAAGACGAACACCTTTTTAAGTTGGTCTCCTGGGAAACACGATACCTGCAACCTTCAGACTGTCTCCTAGCTATGTAAAGGTCCAGCCTCCTCTTAGCACAGCTCCAACCCCAAGTACATGTTACCCAGGATGATCCTTGATGACTATTAATACTCTCTATACATCTGCCAAATCAGTCAGAGTTATTGCATCTTCTTAAAAAATGTAAACAAATGTAGAACATGGCTCACTGGACAAGAAAGTTTACAAATATATAATACTTGATGTTTGCATAGTGAGACTCAAAAATTCTCATTAGGAATGTCCATTTCCCAGTAACCCTGGAAAAGTTGAATCAGGAGTTATCAGCATTCTTTTCCATGAAGAAATCGAGGCTCAGACTAGCTAAGTGGCCGTCTAGGTTCACAGGAAAGAGACACAAGCCCACTTCTTCCTTTGAAAAATCACGTGTTATTCAGGAAATATTACTTTACACACTTATATCTTCAAAATATACAACTTCATCCAGTAGGGAAAGCATCTTGTATAGTGAAAATGTTTTGGCACAAGTCCAAGTTGACACTTGACCTATGTGTATTCCCATGGAAGGCATCTTGCTCTGTCTAAGGCTCAGTCTTCTTCACTGCGAAATAATCCTAAGTGCTTCACAGACTGTTGTATGAAGAAAAAAAGAT